TTTCCTTTAATAAATGTGGGTGGAGGAGTTGATCTGCCGTTATTATAACTAACGGAAGTAGAAGGCTAATTTTGACCATAAAAATTTATGCACATCAATTTTATGAAAGAGTACAAGTATTAATGCATACAAGAGGAGGACACAATATAGGGGTACTAACCTATATTCATAGTTATAATGTTTTTAGAAATATATATTTTGGGTGGTGTCATTTGACACCATAAGCCAACACTTGGCTCCGCCACTGGGCCCGGCCCGGTACTGTTTGGGCCCGGCCCGGACCGGTTGACCGGTCTTTGGGCCGGTTCGGGCAGAGACGGAGCCACATACAAATTTGTGGTGTCAATTGACACCACTCATTTTTTTTGTAATTATATATAAAGAGATCTATTTTCTAAAAATTAATATGAAACTACCTATATAAATAGAATGATGGTCAATTGACACCACTAAAAAATATTGCAGTTATATCTATGAAGGTATATTTTCTAAAAGTGGATTTAACACCATATATATAGAGTGAGGGTCAAAAATATAAATATATATATGAACTAATTATATATATATATACATACATACATGTATATATATTAAGTCTTGTGACTACATTAGAAATCTTTAGTTATATTAATTTATGTTCAATTTTTATACTTAAGTGACCATGATATTGTACTATAGTAACTTTTAGTGATAGTGTTGAAAATAAGTTTATTTCGGAAATATTTTTGAAAAGTCATTAAATATATTTATTTAACTAAAATAAATTTACATGCAATCAAATCTAACCATGATTAATATTTTTTACTCATTTCAATAAGCAATGCACTGGAGCATTTATTCAAGATAGGGATAATGAACTTTAAATTTCAAAATTGAGCAACAGCCAACACTTATATTTTATTATCAAATAAGCTTTACTTAATGGTTTGTATTAATTTTATGATGACTTAAATGATCGAATTTGAATCACAAAGTGTTTTAGTATCATTTTTAATAGGAAAAAATGAAAATAATAATCCCAATTATTGCTGGTCCGCTGATAATAATCCCAACTATTGATTATTTTTGTATAATCCCAACTATATGGACCATCCGCCAATAATGGTCCATGACCAGATATTACCTCCTATAAAAAGTGAATTTTAAATAGAAATTAAGCGTAAAATTAAAAGTTGGGATTATTTATAGGGATTACTTGTTATATCTCTTTTCATCCACTTTAGAAACTACGAGAATTTATTTATAGGGACCATTATTGGCGGAAGGTCCCTAAAGTTGGGATTTTTCTGAAATAATCGATAGTTGAGATTATTATGGGCGGACCATCAATAGTTGAGATTATTACTATCAATTTTTCCTTTTTAATATACATTTCAGTTATTGAATATGAAATAACTATTTAAATGGTGTGTATTATTGCCGGTGGTACTTGATATGGAGTATCATGTAAAGCCATTTTATCAATTTTAAAACCTAGCTCGAATAATTGTAGAAAATGAATAATTGTCAATAATTTTTTGTAAAATCGTTTTATAGAAGTGAGATTTATTTAAAAGTTGAAAGATGCAATTTTAGTCCCATAACTGTTGGATGTTTTCATTATTAGTCCTGTAACTTTAGTCACTTACAAGTTTAGTCATGTCACTAATAAACCTTTGCGATTTAAGTGTATTTCCCCGGAAAAGTACACTTTCTGGAAAAACTATACTGGAAAAAATGCCGCGACATTGGATTTTCTGCTGGACAGTGTAATTTTCTGGGGACATGTCCTTAAATCGCAAAGATTTATTAGTTATAGAACCAAACTTGCAAGTGACTAAATTATGAAGCCAATAATGAAAACGGCCTAAAGTTGTGGGACTAAAATTGCAAATCTCTCTTAAAAGTTTGACACCACTCAGATGAATGGCTGGCTCTGTCCCTGGGTTCGGGCCTACTGAACCGCTCAATTCCCGGGGGGGGGGGGGGGGGGGGGGGGGCTCGGGCCTCCTAAAAGTGGAACCGGCCCGGCCGGTTCGGGCCAATTTTTTTTTTTTCAATTTTTTTTTTTTGTTTCTGTCGGGTTGGACTGGGTGTTTGGGGGGGGGGGGGGTTGGGGGTGGGTGATATTCATGTAATTTCCGATTGTATGTTTGTATTTTTAACTAGTTTTTATTAGTTCTAGTTGTGGAAATTACACACTTTTGGTGTAATATTTTATTTTCATTTTTATTTGTAATTTGTTTAGATTAGGATTATTCTGAGCTAAACATGTCAAAGATCATCCAAGGGATCAAGATTGGACCTTAAAAGATCAAGGAAAGTGCAAGGAGACAAGAAAGATTTCGATTTGGAAAAAATACTCATGTACCCGGTCGGGTATTGCCTATACCCGATCGGGTATTCACTTGATTCGATTGTCCAAATCAAATCCGGGAACAAATGATCGTGGGAGCAAATTTTCGTGAAGATTTGTCACATACCCGATCGGGTATGCCCAGAAAAGTGACTTTCTGGGCAATTTCCTAAGATACCCGATCGGGTATCCTATATACCCGATCGGGTATCAGACCCTGCAGCTCCCAAAAGCCTATAAATACACCCCTTTCCTTCACAATAAAAACACCAATTCACATATACTCTTTAGCTCAGTTTAGATTAGTGTTTTCTTTATATTTTCTATCATGTTTAGTCTCCAAATGAGGAGCTAAACTCTTCCATCTTGGTTTTGCTACTTTGAAGCTTAATGAATTTGTAAGTTGTGAGTTATTCTCTTTAATCTTCTTCCTTGAATATTAATTCTTCCTTTAAATACTATTTCTATATCAATGTTGGGGAGTGTTACTAAGATGACAATTAGTTAACATCTTGACATTAACTATAGTAGGATTCATCTTCTTTGATATTCTTCCTTGAGTATTAATTAATTCCTATTCATATTTCATATTAATATTTTGAACATTACTTAAAGGATCAACTAGTATTGTTTCATATATTAATTATTACTAGAATCAATCGGTTAATACGCTTGTTATTAAGTCGGTTCTTTCAATGGTAGTAAACTTGGGTTGTTAATGCATGCTTCTCATGGTTAATAAGCCAAGGGGAATTAATTATATTGATTAAACCAATAAACCGCTTGTGTTGAGGTTATCAATCTCAATCGTTTTCATCTTAAGTTTATTGCTACTATCAAGTTAATATACGGCGCTTGTTCTATATTGACTCGATAGTAAGTTTTATTAATAAACGCTTCTCGTTATTAATAACTACCCTCGATGAACTGGATATACTCCTCGATTGAGTATTCGAGAGGAAGATAGTTAAAGATATAACCGGGATCGACGAACATTTCATTAAGTGGATAAAAGCAAAGACAAGTCTTCTTCTCATTAATTAAACCACATAACTCGTTCATCTTCGTGCTTAAATATAATTTAAGTTCACTCACTCAATCTAAAACTCCCCCCCTTGTTACTAGTTTATAAAAAGAGAAGTGTTCCCTTCCCTGTGGATACGAACCTTACTACACTATACTACGTATTAGTGTCGTATTGATATTTATTTTGAGTGCACCTCACGACAAGTGCACGTCAGTGGGGGTGAAGGGGGGTCGGGGGTTAATTACAAAAGCAAAAGAAAATTAAAAAAATAACATTGAACCGGAACCGGCCCGGGTCCATCCCTAGCGGTGGACGATTTAGTTTAACCAAATCATACTAAGTCTAAATGAATCGAACTGAAACTAGATCAAGAAAAATTGAACTAAATTAAATCAATAAACCTTCATATCAAACAAAACAAATTGAACTAAATAAAATCAATAAAACCTTCATATCAAATTAAACCAAACCAAATCAAATTAAATAAAAGGAAAGTATAATTTTTATTTTGTAATAATTCTCCTAATTCGTTCCAAATCGAACCGAAACGGATAAAAATGGAAATGAAAATGGATATTCCCCTAATTGTAACTAGGGGTGGGCAAAAATACCGAAAAATCGGTATACCGATCTATTTCGGTACGGTAACGGTAAATATTTTCAAATACCACGGTATACCGGTATAATACCGTACCGACTCCCTACTCAACAATTACTTTTAATTCTAATATATTGTAAAAATCCATTCCAATTTCGAAGCCAAAATTAATACTTAAGTTGGTTACAAATACAAAAATACAAAAATAAAGGCCCAATTTCAAAAATCCACTATAACCTTATAAGCTTCTACTACGCTAACCTTAATGACTAATGAGTAATGTACAAATGTCAAGAAACAAGTCCATCTTGTTCCAAGAGTTTGCAAGTCGTGATGGCTGGGCCGCTAAGTAGCTGACGAGTGAAGAGAGATACACTTATGTGATAAGTGTATCTACATAGGGATTCCGCGAGTCGAGACACACAACTTTGTCCGAAAGTCTTATTCAATTTTTAAAAAATTATAAAAATGACTAAATACACAATATCATATTAGGAATAAATGATTTTATATCCATGTTGTTTGAATAGTTTTATTTATTCTTGATTTCTTGTTAGAGATTACTATTGATTTAATTATATCCATATTATTCAAGTTATTTTAGGAGAATGTGTTACTTTTTAATATGTGGCATGTTGAACTGCTTAAATATACTAATAATAATTATTGTTTAGTATTGAATTGACATCAATATATTATTAATTGTACTTCGTAACACTTTAATAATAGATTTAATATGTCGCTAGTAATAACGATTTAGTATATTTCGTTAGTCTATGATAATTTTTTGTATTGGGAGACATGCACGGTAATTTACCGATACCGTACCGTTACCGAATCGAAATTTCGGTATACCGAAATGCGGTATACCGAAACTTCGGTAAGGTAAAGGTATGCAAATTTTGCATACCGAAAGTTTTGGTACGGCAAATGTATGAGAAAAAAATATAAGGTATACCGTACCCAACCACACCTAATTATAACACTTGACGCCGATAAGGTTTATCCAAAACTACACTTATACCACTCGCCTGCATCCAATGCTCTGAATACCCGTTTCTATTTGATTCTGCAAAATCCAGTCAGAGCAAATGCTTCTTCTACAGAGCGCCATCAAAACCCTACCTACTGATCAAAGCATCTCGTCGTCTCTCTTCAAGCGCCGGACTACTCTGCTGCCGAAACCTTTCTTTCCCGGCTTTGATTTGAGGTTTAGTTTGGGTTGCAGAACGAAGAAGGCCTCACACCTTGCTTCCAAAACTAGGACCCATGCCACTCTTCTTGATACCCCCGTCTTGTGGGCGGGCAGAGTTGCCATCTTCTACGTCCTCCTGAAAGCTGGATTGGCTGGATCGCCTTCTAACCCCATCTTTTCAGGTTCTCAATTGTATGCCATACTATAGAACACATATAACATACGAAGTATTCAATGCTTGTAATTGAAATCCTTTTCTGGAGTTATGTTAACGTGTTATCATACTCTTCGCTGAATTAGTTATGCTTTTTTAAAATATAAGTTCTGTATGCTTCTGGTAGATTCTGAGAATGGTGATGCCGATGACATGGGATTTGCTAAGTGGTTCGATCGGTGGAGACGAAATCCAGGTCTGTGGCTATTCTTAATAAGTATTTGAAATATTCTGGTGAAATGTCATGCATGTTAGTCATTGCTTGCGAAATGGAAATACCATTTTTATTGAATATGGGGAAGTAGATCTATTTAGCTGCTGGTGCCCTCTGTAATATGAATTTTGTGCATATCCTATTAGTTAGTATGGGTGGTGTATTAGTCTATTGATGTTATTGGTGTTATCTTTCAAACCTAATACCCTGTCGTACATTTTGAAAGCTCTGGAGTAAAATGTTTTTTGCAATACTAACATACTACGCATATGGAAAGTGTGAATTGAAATTGTTTGTGCATGATCACTATACAGTAATATTTACTCAACAATTCTAATATACTTCGTATGTTAAATTCATTATGCCTTTTTACTTAATAACACCAAAGACATAAATGGAGAAACCGAATATCAAGTCAATGGCACACATGTAGAAGATACAAACACATGCTCGTGATACTATATTAGAAGATACAGTAGGGTTCAGAATGATAAGAATGTGAATTGCATATTGATTACAAAATGAGTAAATCAGTAAAGTACATGAAGTATTGAGGCTAACAGTTTACAGTTAAGTTTATAACAACATACTATCCTCCGTTCCAAATTAGATGCAACATAGCCCAATGGCACACAAATTAAGAAAAAGCCATAAAGTCATTTGTTCCCTATTCTACCCTTCCGCAGTCTGCACGTGTACTGATACACGGTGTTTCATCTGGTCTTGACGGAAGCAAGAAAGGAGATTTAAAAGAAAGAAGAAAATGGAAGAAAGGGATCTCCAGCACAACAGTGAGCTTCAAACTCCTTGAAAATGTAGGAAACGCTTAGGGCGAGAAGGCTAATGTGTAAGCGACGAAGCCTCCAGGTAGCCGGAGATGCTCTCAGTCGCCGGCGCAGTCGGGCAGCGGGTGTTGCCGGAGAAAGCAGAGGACCCACTCTGTTCTGCTGCTAGCTTCGTTGCTGGAGACTCCTTAGGTTGTTGCTACTGCTTGGGTCGTTAACAAAGCTTTCAGGCGGCCATCAATGGCGGACCTCCGAGGTTGAGCACTAAAAGCCGACGGAAATGACTAGGAAGATGGATAGGTGGTAATTGTGGCCTAGGCTTTCCTTCACAATTTTTGTTGTTGGATTGTCTGTAAATGGGATGAATTTTTGAGAAAAAAAAAACGAGAGGAAAGGATGAAGTAATAGTAACAGTAGATTAAGAATGGGAGATGACAGAAATAGGAATGAGGAAGAAGGGTTGGGCAAATGGAATTTGTGGCGCAGCTAGATGGGTTAAGTTCGGACTTCGGAGTATTATTTTATGGATTGAAGGGCAGTATAGTCATATGGTTATTTCTTATTACTAAAAAAGGTAGTTTTGCAATTAATTTGAAACTACCCAAAAAGGAAAGTGTTGCAATTAAAAAAGAACGGAGGGAGTATCTAACAAGACTTGTTTACTATACGTGTATATCACTAACATATAATGACCATACGTGTATACACTTGTTTTTTAGATGGGAAGCGAAATGAATTATAGTAAGAAAGGTCCAGTCAAGCATTGTACATTGCAGCTCTATACACTCATGCCATAGAAAACAAATCCTTTTATTTAGAAAAAAAATCTGTTTGCAATTTTGCGTGTGTACGCATTTCCCATTGATACTTTAGTATCTCATCAAATGAGAAAATTTTCCTTTATGATGGCTTATTCTAAAAAATTGCGCATTTTTTAAAAATTTTAAATTTTCTGTGTGGTTCCTGTAGTAAAACATGATTGCACGCCTTACATATAAATACATCTGTTCATATGAATGTTTCTTTAGGAATCTCATTCCCTGCAATATGCATATATGTATATGTATGAATGTTGAAACAGAAAAAGAAGCCGCTGACAAAAGGAAACTAGTAAGCAAATGGCATCCAACAACCAAGGGTACCCTTAGACGTAATTACAGGGTGCCGTCAAAATCTGAAGGTCGGCGTCTTCTTAGAGACATTGCTTCCTTACTATCAGACGATGACCATTTTAGAGATGCCACTTCTCACAAGGTGGTGATCATATCATTTTTACCCATTTTCTTTTTGTTCCTGACTAAGTTCTTGTTGTTTATCGAATCAAGTATGACTTAAGAAGGCATCATTTTATAGGGTTGTCAGATCAGGAGGGAGAGTGCTCATGGAGAAAGTGTGTGTTGCAACAATGTGAGAGCTCTGTTTGATGAGCTCCCGACACCACACCTAATAGTAGAGATCACACCTTTCCCTGCGGGGCCTTTATCGGAAAATGACTATATCAAAGCCGAGAAACTGGAAGTCGTCCTTAGATCAGGCCCATCGGTTTAAAAAATGTTTCACTGCCTTAAAACTCGGTGTATATTGTTCACTTCTGTCAGCTTCACTGTAATTATCCACAGTTTTTGTCATTGAAGCCATCTTCCAGTTTATGTCATCAATTATATTTAGATTAAAAAAAACTTATTGGACTTTATTTGGAATTTTATGCTGGTGTTGTGGAAGGTAAGAGAGACATTTCCAAATCCACATCAAGACCATGTGGAATTGTGGACCACTCCGGTTACTTTTTTTTTTTTTTACAAAATTAAGCTAACGGGCCAGTAGTCAGTACTCAGTACATCTAGGTACGAGACCTACATATACTAGTCAGGATGTTTTTACCCCGGTCTGATCTGATTTGAAGTGGTATGGTTTGTTAAACGTCTGGCCTCTATGTATTTTATAACAATTCAAGTCTGGTTTAGTTTGAGCTGATCTGGTCAGGGAATGAAAATAGTCCAAGTAAAAACATCCTCACCCCCCAAAATTCCTCAATTGATTGGCAACAAGGATGTCTCAGTGCACCAATGATAGGTTACATTTTATAAAGATGGATCATATCTACTTTAGTACTAAAAAGCATTGATTTCTACCTAAATTGCAATTGAGTACAATTTTATTAAACCACATAAAAAGCATATTTTATTAATCCACATAATAATTGAATCTATTTTTTATTCTCTATCAATACATAACAAAAAGTTTATAAATCTAAATGAAATAAGTATATTGCATTTATATTCATACACTACTTTTATTTCTGTAATATTTACAATATTTATACACTTTTTTGTAATATATTTTTTATATTCATACATTTTTTGTAATATATTTTTATATGCATACACTTTTTCTACAATTTTTTATCACTTATATGTTTTTAAGATTTTTTTAAGACATTGAATTTGTTTATTTTGATTCTTGGAGTTACATTTGAAATCTTTACTACGATTTGCATCTTATCATGTGTGAGTTATATCTTATTATACGTGAGTCACATGCATCTACTTATGCGTGAGTTACATCTAGTTATTTGTTATTTTTGTTATATCTAATTATCTTTAAGAAAATTAAATTACAACTGATTAAGTTCTTTTTTTACACAAAATTTTAATTAACCAACATAAAATAAGTATATGGTATTTCATAATCATACACTACATTCAAAGGGATAAAACTAATATTTTTCATTATTTACATTGAAATCAATGTTTTAATTCTTATATTCTATTTTAGATATATAACTTACATTTTAACTTGACATAAATTACCTTTCTTATCATTGTGAGTTACGTTACTGGAAACATGAATTACATTCGTAATAACACGAGTTACATAAAAAAATCAACCCATACTATTTAAACAAAAAACAAAAAAAAAATAAAATAAATCCTTTTGATGGTCATGATATTAAAAACAAAACATATTCATGATTTAAGTAAAGTAATTGTGCATTTAGACCCTCTTTTTGTATTGTTTACATTGAAATTAATGTTTTATTTTTTATAAAACATGTATTTGACAACTTACATTTCGACTGGATTTTAGTTACATTTTTTAACAATGTGAACGGTAACACACGTTTTTTCAGGGAGCAACATGCTTCAAACGGGGTCATTTTGGCATAGGAACTTGTATAAAAGCAGTACAAGAAATTTTCAGCTGTTGTTGTGTCGAAAATTGCAAAATTAAGGAGTGTTTTGACATGAAGAGCTGAGTCATCAGTGGTTCCAATCTCTAACTGATGGCCGGTGATGATCCGGTGGAGAGCTGAGAGGCTGTTCAAACGACCAAAAGAGATCTCCCATCTTCTCCAACTCCACTCGCTCAACATAAAAACTTGTCTTGATCATGACGAGTTCCAACTTCCAAGTCTCCCAATTCGTATTGTCGGCTTGTTCGATATCTCTCCATTTCGCGCGATCGGTATTTGAAAACTCTCCGATCACTCCATCGCTCTTCACGTGGAATTCGTTGATAAGAGAGTACTCGAAAAGCTCAAGTAAGATTGAGTCCGTGAAGTTGTTTATCAGGCTTTTGAGAACCGGAATAAGACCTCACAAGTTTGTTTTCCCCTCCGTGCTAAAATCTTGTGGGTGCCCTTCCATGGTTGGAGCTGGTGGATCAGTTCATTCAATGTCTATAAAGACTGGGTTTGCTTTTGATGTGAATGTCAATAATACCCTCCTGAAAATGTATGCTGCATGCCGTGTGATTGCGTTAGCAAGGAAGGTGTTCGACGAAATGATTGACAGGGACATGGTTTCTTGGAGCTCTATGATTTCTAGCTATGTTGCTTGGTGCGGATATTCTTCTAGTTTTTTGCATTTTGTTTTCATAACTTTATTTGTAGTTTGGCTCTGTTTGAATAATCAAATCTTTCCATCTCAAGATGAGACTCTGCATATGACTTGACACATTTATCAAGATACTAAAATTGTGTGGTAGAGGTTTATGAACCACATAACTCTTCTCATAAAAGAAAAGATGATCCTTCTCTGGCATGAACCTTTCTTGGGACAGAGTAAAGCGAATCATGTAACTCTTTTCTTAAAAGGAAACATGAACCTAATTTTAGGATGAATGAAGTACAAGAGGAAATTTTTTTGGCACAGAGGGACTCACTGAGGTAGTAATTACACCTAAAGATTAGAAATGAGATTTAGTAGGAGAGTTTCTTGGATTGCTTTGAAAAAAACGGTTACAGTTTTGCAATATGCCTAAAAAGTTCAAAAGTCATTTAAAGTGTGAATGACTAAGTTTTACATTTTAGTTCTGTATTCATTAGTTATTCTTTATGTTTAAATACTTCTGCTCCAGCCTGTCGAAATATTGATACCCGCAAGATTTCTTTTGTTAGCTAAATATCCATACCATTATATTATTGTATACACATTGCTCTGTCGAAAAGAATTATCATAGTAAGAATTGCTTGATAGTATAATAAGCCCTTGGACAAGAGTGTTCTGATCCCCTTTTACTTGTGATGTTGTACATTAGTAAACTCTGCTTTCCTCCTTAAGAACTTTTCCTTTTTTCTTAAAAAATGTATATATATCAAGTGGACATTATCCCTCCATTTGTAAATCTTTTGTGCATTGATGCGCATATATATGAAATAATATTAATACCTATATGTAGCTCCTGTTTTCCTAGAAGGTGTTTCCCTTCCATATCAGTCTTGAGTGTTCCTATGTACTTTTTGAATTTTTGTAGTAACCTCCCTTCAGATGCTATTGAAGTGTTCAAGGGGATGAAGCTTGCAAATGAGAAGGAAAGTTCAATCACTTTGGTGAGCTTGCTTGCTGCATGTACCAGTCTCCTAAATGCCAGACTAGGTGAGTCTATCCATTCGCAAATCCTGACTAATGGTATTGAGTTGCATGTTGGCCTCGGAACAGCCCTCCTTCAGATGTATGCAAAGTGCGCCCACATGGAAAAAGCCTTCCACATCTTCAATATAATGAATGTCAAGAATCTGCAGTCATGGACAATAATGATATCTGCACTTGCAAATAATGGCCATGGAGAAGAAGCCTTATCCTTATTTTCCAGATTGGAAAAATCCGGACTGAGACCTGACAGCTTGTCGTTTTCTGCCATTTTGTCTGCTTGTGGTCACTTAGGGCTTGTGGATAAAGGGCGTGACTTGTTCAGGAGAATGACGAGTGTCTATTATATCAAACCAAGTATGGAACATTATGGATGTATGGTGGACTTGCTTGGACGTGCGGGTAAGATAGAGGAAGCTTACGAGGTTATCATGCACATGCCGATGGAACCGAATTCTGTAATACTAAGGAGCTTTATTAGTGCCTGCAAACATTATGAATGCATTGTTCCTCATATCAATGAGAACCTTAAGGAACTGTTGCTTAGAATAGAGCCTGATATTGCAGCCAACTATGTGCTTGCTGCCAATATGTCTTCCAACCAGGGTAATTGGGCTGTTGCAGATGGACTGCAAACTTGTATTAAAGAAATGGGCATGGAGAAAGTTCCTGGTTGCAGTTGGGTGCAGCGGGTGATCTAGATCCATTATTAAGTAAGTGTGGGCAGAAAAATAAAAGAACATTTCTCTGTACTTAAAACTGTATCATTTACGATTGATTTAGGACTGAGATGAAGTCATGTTGTTCCTGATAATATCTAAAAACCCGAATTCAAATATCATAAGAAATTGATACTCAGAATCAAATTACAAAAATGAATTGAATAGCATTTGTCTATCCTTCATCAATCAAACATACTCCCTCCTTCCCAAAATAAACGTCTTGTTTGCTTTTGCACAAGTTTTAAGAAAGTGGTTGAAAAGGTAAAAATTGTGGTTGAGATTTGAGTAGAAAAAGGTGAATTGATATGAGCCACACATTATTGCCAAAAGAGGAAACAAGAAAATTATTTTGGGACGGACCAAAAAGGAAAGTAGGAAAGTTATTTCGGGACAGAGGGAGTACTATTTATATACTTTTGGTATAATTTTCCCTTTCTCCTCTTCATCCAATCAAGTTCTCCGCCATAAAACATATTTGGATGAAAACCAGTAGTTTCACATATAATTTTATTATTACGAATATGTTATACAAATAATTCATTGTATATATGCTCATCTCGAGAAAATCTTGTTTCTCCAATTAAAAAAATTGTTGCCATCTTCTATGCCCTCCTGAAAGCTGGTTTGGCTGTATCCCCTTCTAACCCCATCACTTCAGGTTCTCAACTATATGCATCTTGTATAACATATTCAATGATTGTAACTGAAATCCTTTTCTGGAGTTAGGGTTTATGTGTTATCATACTCTTTGCTGAATTCTGTATATTTATAGATACATAAGTTCTGCATAAATAAGTTATGTTTTATATATTTATATGTAAATAAGTTCTGCATGTTTCTGGTAGAATCTGAGAACGGTAATGCTGACATGGGATTTTTCAAGTGGTTCGATAATTGGAGACGAAATCCAGGTCTGTGGCCATTCTTGATAAGTATTTGAAGTATTCTGATGCATGTTAGTGAATTCTGAAGTATTCTGGCCATTTTCAAGTATTTGTTGAAAATGGGGACATAGATCTATTTAGCTGCAAGTGCCCTATGTAATATGAATTTTGTGCACATCCTATTAGTTAGTATGAGTGGTGTATTAGTGTATTGTTGGTGGTGGTGTTATCATTCAAACCTAATGCCCCATGAGACATTTCAAATTCAAAAAAAGAAAAGCAGGTAATTGGACATATTTCATGTTGCAAGCTTTGGACTAAAATGTTTTTCCAATATCACTTATCAGCATATATGGAAAATGTTTGAATTGAAATTGTTTGTGCATGATCACTCACTTTACAGTAAGATATACTCCACAAATCTAATATATATCAAATAACCATTATGCCTTTTTACTTAGTAAGACCAAAGACATAAATAGAGAAACCAAATATGAAGTCAATGACACACAATTGCACAAATGCTCATCACTATATAATGACCATATGAATCTTGTTTACTTTCTCATGCTTGCTTCTTTTTATATACGGAGTATTTTTTTAGTTGGGAAGAAAAATGAAATATATTAAGAAAGGTCCAGTCAAGCATTGTACATTGCAGCTTTATACGCTCATGTCATAGAAAACAAATCCTTTTTATTTAGAAAAAAAATTTGTTTGCATTTTGTGTACACATTTTCTCATTCATACTTTAGCATCTCAGCGAATTAAGTAACTTCATGAGAAAATTTTCCTTGATGATGGCTTATTCTAAAAAGTGGCACATCTTCAGTTTTTTTTATGCAAAATAACCTACTAAAATAATATTCCTTATATTAGGTCATCATATCATCATTTACCCCAGTGCCGCAAAGGCTCCCACCTACGGTGGGTAAGGGGGGGTCGGATGCATGCAGTCTTACCCCTGTACTACTAAAGCGCAGAGAGACTGTTTCCGGGTGACCCATAGTGAAAATCGCGTCCAAAATTGCATGGACTGACTGCTGCTTCATAACAAATAAGCGCAAACATTTTAGTGAGCCATTTTGTTTTATTCCATCATATTCTCAAGCCAAAAAATAGTGAATCTTTGACTCCATTGCAAATGATGGAAAGATTCCTTATATTAGGTATATGTAATAAATAATTTGGGGCTCCAAAAGTTTAGGGTTCAGCTCAGACGCCCCGCCACAATGCAAATGAACTGGTCTGATCATAAGGCTAACATTAGCACTCATATTTTCACTGTTTTGTTTCACTTTTCGCCTCACTTTACTTACAACCACACTATATTTCCTTTATGCAACTATTATTGTGTTTAATTTTTATATTTGCTTACAAAAACACTATGCAACAAGAAAAGTAATAACGCCAAAAATGGGATTGTTTATATCACTATTGGTCATTACTCATCATCTTTGCCGCATAATGGTGACCCTTTGTGTCGAAGCTTTAGATTTTATCTTCTGCAGGGCAGTGACTACTTGTAACATGTTAACTCTTTCATCTGGCAAAAATTCTAAGCATTTCATAGCCAAGTCGAAAATAGATGAAATACATTCAGACAAATGATCATCTTCTCTTGAAAGCAAACCAAGGTCCACAATTTCTCTTGTTCTATTTTGCTTTATGGCTTCAATTACCCATCCCTTCATGCTAATTTCCCCACCAAACATATCATCTGTTGGCTTCTTACATGTGAACATCTCCACCAACAATATCCCGTAACTGTACACGTCTCCACTTGTCGATACTTTCCCTTCAGCTCCATATTCTGTTAAAGTTTTTGTTGAAAAAAGGAGTTCATTTAGTTTGTGAACAAGTGCAAAAAACAACTATGCTTCATTTAGTAGCTATATATGGATTGTGATGCCTCTCGTGTGCAGTGGCGGAGCCAGAAAAACGGGTCAGGGGGGTCGAAAATCAACTATGTACAAAATGAAAATGGTACATCGCTTCTAGACAATGTTCGAATTGAATGTTTCATTTGTAGTCTAGATAAATAGGCATTCGTAAGCAATAAGATATACTGTTTTTGCTCTGTTTCTGAATCATGTTATGTAACTAATGAAATAATTATACGTTATTCATAAAATTTGGGAAAATAATCAATATTATGCATAAATTTTGCTGATTTTACGTTTAGATAGTGCTGATTTTCCAGAGGTCATAACTTTTTACTCGTAATGAGTTACGGGGGCCATAATATATCAAATCGAAGATATTTCAGAGCTCTATACTCTCAAACTTTCAGCGGGGTCGGCTGACCCCCTTGACCCCCCCTTGGCTCCGCCCCTGCTCGTGTGTCTCATTGGTTACAGTAAATGTTGCCTAACATTTATTCCTTTTGGAAACCCAAGTGAATCTGGTCATTTAAGCATAACAACACAAAAAACATGCACTGAAAACAATAAGTTGACCTTTTAAGATTACTACTAAAATAACATTAAGACTATAGTCACGTTCGGAAATAACACCATAGTCTGTGCATAATAAAACAGAACCTAGGGGTGGGTTCGGTTCTTGCGGTTCGGTTTTGACCTAAAACCAAATGTAGAATCAAAGTAAAAAGTTCGGTTCGGTTTTACACTCCAAAACTTGGAACCACGGTTTGATTGGTTCGGTTTGTTTCGGTTCGGTTTCGGTTTTTTCGGTTTTTTTTACCAAAATTTTTTCACTTGATTTTAAATTGATATAGTACTTAAAGGGATCAAACATATTACATAAAGAATTCAAGCACAATATAACGACAAATAAAATAAAAATGAAAAGAGATAAATATGTCTTGAATTATATGAGTATGCGAGAGAGATAAAACTGTATATATTATTGATTTAATTTGTTTGTGAGTAGTTTGAAATTTTTTCATGAATATATATGTTCTATGTGATATAGTTGAGATTAATATTTATTGTTTTATCAATATAAATCTTTAAGTTAGCTAAAAATAAAAGTTAATTACTACTAAAAACTAGTAAACACATATGATCATCATTCAATATAGTTATTATTACAGACAATGAATGTGTAAATGAATTTATAAACTAAATTAAATTAAACATAACACAAACATTATTTCTCTAACACAAGAAAACCAAAGACTATTGATGATATTAAGATTAACTAGAATTAATGCTTAACAATTAACATATAAATTTCATATTTTAAATAGTTCGGTTTGTTCGGTTCGGTTCGGTTTTGAAGGGTAAAAACCAAAACCGAATCGAACAACTTCGGTTCGGTTCGGTTTTTTACATTCGATTTCGATTTCTTAGCGGTTCGGTTTTATTTGGTTGCGATTCGGTTTAATTTGATTCGGTTTTCGGTTTTCGGTTTTTCGGACCCAGCCCTACATGACCATAAACATAATAGTTATTGCAGATATACCACCATGTCCTCAAAAATATATTTTGTCAGTTTTTATGTTGGTCATACATATTATCATTTCTTATTATACGTTAATATACAAAGAAGCATCACCTGGTGCTGCGTAGCCAATAGTCGCAAATGTTTTCGTTTGAGCCATTTCCTTCCCTTCACCAAAGAGCTTAGAAATGCCAAAATCACCAACATGAGCAATCATATCTTCATCAAGCAACACATTGCTGGGCTTTATATCACAATGAACAACAGTGAATGTGTGATTGTGATGAAGATATTCCAACGCCAATGCAACATCTATTGCTATGTTTAATCTCTGAACCAAACTCAAGTAATGCTCATCTTTAGAATATAAACATTTCTCCAGGCTCCCGTTTGGCATGTATGCAAGAATCAAAGCTTTGAATTCTGTGTTGGTACAACAGCCAATAATTCGGACCAAGTTCCTGTGCCGAATGCTACTCAGAATCTCACTTTCAGTGTCAAAACTCTTGCTCGCTCCCTCTGATTGTAAGTTAAAAACTTTTATTGCAATGTCTAATCCATCAGAAAGAGTTGCTCTAAAAACTGAACCAGAGCCTCCTCTTCCAATTAGATTCCTCTCATCAAAATAATTTGTTCCTTGCACGAGTTCCATATATGATATTCTTCGCCATAAAGATATATCATCATCGGCTGGAGGCGGTGCTTTTGTCTGTTTTCGTCTCCTTAAGAGAACAAGTACTATGATAAGAACCATAATGATGAATGCAATGAAGGGAGGAAGAATGTACTTGATTAAACGGGTTACGTTGTTAGACCGACTGTGATTTTGGTCTACACAAGTTGGAACCTGAAGTCTTTGACTTGCAACACTGCAAAGAGAGGGGTTGCTCAGAAAAGATTGAGCTGTGAAGCTGGCAAATCGGCCCTTATTTGGAATCTCTCCTTGCAATTTGTTGTAAGAGACGTTGAAATATGTAAGATCCGTTAGGGCTTCTAAGGAGTCAGGTATGAATCCAGAAAGACTGTTATCAGAGAGATCCAATGTTGTCAAGCCTCTGAGATTACCAAAAGACTCAGGGATTGATCCAGTGAAGTGATTACCATCCAACCATAAGTTCTCTAGTGATAGACAATCTTTAATCGAGGTCGGGATTTCACCAGAAAATTGATTAGAAGACATGTCTAGGCTACCGATTGCTTTCCAATTACCAATCCGTCTTGAAATTTGTCCACTGAGATTGTTGGAGGATAAGTCTAGTGTAATCATATTTGTAAGATCCCAGAAGGTGGAAGGTATGTTGAAACTCAAGTTGTTGAAGGCAAAGGAGAGCGTATTCAAGTTTGACATTTCACCGAAACATTCAGGAATTGGGCCAGTAAGTATATTGACACTCAAATTCAATTCCCCCAAATTTCTTAGTTGGCAAAGATTGGAAGGGATATGGCCTTCCAGCCGATTTCCACCGAGAAGTATTCTGGAAACGGAACTTAGGTTCGCTATTGTCGGGGGGATGGAACCACTAAGCTGATTTTCAGCCAGATATAAGCTTTGCAAGTTCGTTAAGTTTCCGATTCCGGGAGGAATAGGGCCAGTGATATTGCAGTCCGATGCCATGAAATTTAGGAGAGATTTGGATAAGTTCCCGATGGAAGGTGGGAGAATACCATTGAGTGGATTGTCTGTTATTTCCAAGTGCTCCAAATACTGGCAGTTTGTCAACGAAGTGAGGAACCCAAGGTGTTGAGACGGGGATGCCGCTCCTGTTAGATTGTTTTCCCAAAGACGAAGTGTTTGAAGAAATGTCATGCTGCTAAAGTCAGGTATGAGGCCAGATAAGGAGTTTCTATTCAGCTCCAAAAGCGTGAGCATGGAAGCGTTAGCAATGGAGCTCGGTATTTCGCCG